ATCGCTAGATCCAAACTTTATCGACAATATTGAGAGTCGCTAGATCAAAACTTTAGCATCAATATTGAGCGTCGCTAGATCCCAACTTTAGCGTCAATATTGAGAGTCGCTAGATCCAAACTTTAGCGTGAATATTGAGAGTCGCTAGATCCTAACTTTAGCGTCAATATTGAGAGTCGCTAGATCCAAACTTTAGCGTCAATATTGAGAGTCGCTAGATCCAAGCTTTAGCGTCAATATTGAGAGTCGCTAGATCCAAACTTAGGCGACAATATTGAGAGTCGCTAGATCTAAACTGTAGCGTCAGTATTGAGAGTCTCTAGATCATAACATTAGCGTCAATATTGAGAGTCGCTAGATCCAAACTTTAGCGTCAATATTGAGAGTCGCTAGATCCCAAATTTAGCGTCAATATTGAGAGTCGCTAGTTCCAAACTTTAGCGACAATATTGAGTCGCTACATCTATACTTTAGCGTCAATATTGAGAGTCGCTAGATCCAAACTTTAGCGTCAATATTGAGAGTCGCTAGATCCCAACTTTAGCGTCAATATTGAGAGTCGCTAGATCCAAACTTTAGCGTCAATATTGAGAGTCGCTAGATCCCAAATTTAGCGTCAATATTGAGAGTCGCTAGTTCCAAACTTTAGCGACAATATTGAGTCGCGACATCCATACTTTAGCGTCAATATTGAGAGTCGCTAGATCAAAACTTATGCGTCAATACTAAGAGTCGCTAGATCCCAAATTTAGCGTCAACATTGAGAGTCGCTAGATCCAAACTTTAGCGTCAATATTGAGAGTCGCTAGATCCCAAATTTAGCTTTAATATTGAGAGTCACTAGATCCAAACTTTAGCGTCAATATTGAGATTCGCTAGATCCAAACTTTAGCGTCAATATTGAGAGAGGCTAGATCCAAACTGTAGCGTCAATATTGAGAGTCGCTAGATCAAATTTTTAGCATCAATATTGAGAGTCGCTAGATCCAAACTTTAGCGTCAATATTGAGAGTCGCTAGATCCAAACTTTAGCGACAATATTGAGAGTTGCTAGATTCTAACTTTAGCGTCAATATTGAGAGTCGCTAGATCCTAACTTTAGCGTGAATATTGAGAGTCGCTAGATCCAAACTTTAGCGACAATATTGAGAGTTGCTAGATTCTAACTTTAGCGTCAATATTGAGAGTCGCTAGATCCAAACTTTAGCGTCAATATTGAGAGTCGCTAGATCCAAACTTTAGCGACAATATTGAGAGTTGCTAGATTCTAACTTTAGCGTCAATATTGAGAGTCGCTAGATCCTAACTTTAGCGTGAATATTGAGAGTCGCTAGATCGTAACTTTAGCGACAATATTGAGAGTCGCTAGATCCTAACTTTGGCGTGAATATTAAGAGTCGCTAGATCCTAACTTTAGCGACAATATTGAGAGTCGGTACATCAAAACTTTAGCATCAATATTGAGAGTCGCTAGATCCCAACTTTAGCGACAATATTGAGAGTCGCTAGATCCCAACTTTAGCGTCAATATTGAGAGTCGCTAGATCCAAACTTTAGCGTGAATATTGAGAGTCGCTAGATCCAAACTTTAGCGACAATATTGAGAGTCGCTAGATCCAAACTTTAGCGTCAATATTGAGAGTCGCTAGATCCCAACTTTAGCGTCAATATTGAGAGTCGCTAGATCCAAACTTTAGCGTCAATATTGAGAGTCGCTAGATCCAAACTGTAGCGTCAATATTGAGAGTCGCTAGATCAAAACTTTAGCATCAATATTGAAAGTCGCTAGATCCAAACTTTAGCGTCAATATTGAGAGTCGCTAGATCCAAACTTTAGCATCAATATTGAGAATCGCTAGATCCAAACTTTAGCGACAATATTGAGAGTCGCTAGATCAAAACTTTAGCATCAATATTGAGCGTCGCTAGATCCCAACTTTAGCGTCAATATTGAGAGTCGCTAGATCCAAACTTTAGCGTAAATATTGAGAGTCGCTAGATCCAAACTTTAGCGTCAGTATTGAGAGTCGCTAGATCATAACTTTAGCGTCAATATTGAGAGTCGCTAGATCCAAACTTTAGCGTCAATATTGAGAGTCGCTAGATCCCAAATTTAGCGTCAATATTGAGAGTCGCTAGTTCCAAACTTTAGCGACAATATTGAATCGCTACATCCATACTTTAGCGTCAATATTAAGAGTCGCTAGATCCAAACTGTAGCGTCAATATTGAGAGTCGCAGGATCTCAACTTTAGCGTCAATATTGAGAGTCGCTAGATCCAAACTTTAGCGTCAATATTGAGAGTCGCTAGATCCCAAATTTAGCGTCAATATTGAGAGTCGCTAGTTCCAAACTTTAGCGACAATATTGAGTCGCGACATCCATACTTTAGCGTCAATATTGAAAGTCGCTAGATCCAAACTTTTATCGTCAATATTGAGAGTCGCTAGATCAAAACTTTAGCATCAATATTGAGAGTCGCTAGATCCATACTTTAGCGTCGATATTGAGAGTCGCTAGATCCAAACTTTTGCGACAATATTGAGAGTCGCTAGATCCAGACTTTAGCGTCAATATTGAGAGTCGCTAGATCCAAACTTTAGCGTCAATATTGAGAGTCGCTAGATCCCAACTTTAGCGTCAATATTGTGAGTCGCTAGATCCAAACTTTAGCGTCAATATTGAGAGTCGCTAGATCCAAACTTTAGCGACAATATTGAGAGTCGCTTGATCCAAACTGTAGCGTCAATATTGATAGTCGCTAGATCCCAACTTTAGCGTCAATATTGAGAGTCGCTAGATCCAAACTTTAGCGTCAATATTGAGAGTCGCTAGATCCCAAATTTAGCGTCAATATTGAGAGTCGATAGATCCAAACTTTAGCGTCAATATTGAGAGTCACTAGATCCAAACTTTATCGACAATATTGAGATTCGCTATATCCAAATTTTAGCGACAATATTGAGAGTCGCTAAATCCAAACTTTAGCGTCAATATTGAGAGTCTCTAGATCCAAACTTTTATCGTCAATATTGAGAGTCGCTAGATCAAAACTTTAGCATCAATATTGAGAGTCGCTAGATCCATACTCTAGCGTCGATATTGAGAGTCGCTAGATCCAGACTTTAGCGTCAATATAGAGAGTCGCTAGATCCAAACTATAGCGTCAATATTGAGAGTCGCTAGATCAAAACTTTAGCGTCAATACTGAGAGTCGCTAGATCCCAAATTTAGCGTCAACATTGAGAGTCGCTTGATCCAAACTTTAGCGTCAATATTGAGAGTCGCTAGATCCCAAATTTAGCTTCAATATTGAGAGTCACTAGATCCAAACTTTAGCGTCAATATTGAGATTCGCTAGATCCAAACTTTAGCGTCAATATTGATAGTCGCTAGATCCTAACTTTAGCGTCAATATTGACAGTCGCTAGATCCTTACTTTAGCGTCAATATTGATAGTCGCTAGATCCTAACTTTAGCGTCAATATTGAGAGTCGCTAGATCCAAACTTTAGCGTCAATATTGAGAGTCGCTAGATCCAGACTTTAGCGTCAATATTGAGTCGCAAGATCCAAACTTTAGCGTCAATATTGAGTCGCTAGATCCAAACTTTAGCGTCAATATTGAGAGTCGCTAGATCCATACTTTAGCGACAATATTGAGTGTCGCTGGATCCAAACTTTAGCGTCAATATTGAGAGTCGCTAGATCCAAACTTTAGCGTCAATATTGAGTCGCAAGATCCAAACTTTAGCGTCAATATTGAGTCGCAAGTTCCAAACTTTAGCATCAATATTGAGAGTCGCTAGATCCAGACTTTAGCGTCAATATTGAGTCGCAAGATCCAAACTTTAGCGTTAATATTGAGAGTCACTAGATCCAAACTTTAACGTCAATATTGATAGTCGCTAGATCCAAACTTTAGCGTCAATATTGAGAGTCGCTAGATCTTAACTTTAGCGTGAATATTGAGAGTCGCTAGATCCAAACTTTATCGTCAATATTGAGAGTCGCTAGATCCAAACTTTAGCGTCAATATTGATAGTCGCAAGATCCAAACTTTAGCGTCAATATTGAGTCGCAAGTTCCAAACTTTAGCGTCAATATTGAGAGTCGCTAGATCCAGACTTTAGCGTCAATATTGAGTCGCAAGATCCAAACTTTAGCGTTAATATTGAGAGTCACTAGATCCAAACTTTAACGTCAATATTGATAGTCGCTAGATCCAAACTTTAGTGTCAATATTGAGAGTCGCTAGATCTTAACTTTAGCGTGAATATTGAGAGTCGCTAGATCCAAACTTTATCGTCAATATTGAGAGTCGCTAGATCCAAACTTTAGCGTCAATATTGATAGTCGCTAGATCCTAACTTTAGCGTCAATATTGAGAGTCGCTAGATCCTAACTTTAGCGTCAATATTGAGAGTCGCTAGATCCTAACTTTAGCGTGAATATTAAGAGTCGCTAGATCCAAACTTTAGCGTCAATATTGAGAGTCGCTAGATCCTAACTTTAGCGTCAATATTGAGAGTCGCTAGATCCTAACTTTAGCGTCAATATTGAGAGTCGCTAGATCCTAACTTTAGCGTCAATATTGAGAGTCGCTAGATCCTAACTTTAGCGTGAATATTAAGAGTCGCTAGATCCTAACTTTATCGTCAATATTGAGAGTCGCTAGATCCAAACTTTAGCGTCAATATTGAGAGTCGCTAGATCCTAACTTTAGCGTCAATATTGAGAGTCGCTAGATCCATACTTTAGCGTCAATATTGAGAGTCGCTAGATCCAAACTTTAGCGACAATATTGAGGGTCGCTAGATCCAAACTTTAGCGACAATATTGAGAGTCGCTAGATCCAAACTTTAGCGACAATATTGAGAGTCGCTAGATCGAAACTTTAGCGTCAATATTGAGAGTCGCTAGATCCAAACTTTAGCGTCAATATTGAGAGTCATTACATCCAAAGTTCAAACAAACAAAAATGAAAAAGAAAACGAGTTGCTTTAAAACTTTATTTACGTTTATATTTACAACAAAAATTGTGACATTTTTTTCTCCACTCCCAATCAAACAATCAACAACTCTTTCTCTGATAAAAATAACGAGATAATTAATTAAAAGCTTAATAAAGCTCTACAATAATGTCAAGAAATATTTTTAGAACAGACATCCAACAGGCGCCATGTTTGTTTACATTCTAGAAAAGACAGACATTCAACAGGCGCCATGTTTGTTTACATTCTAGAAAAGACAGACATCCAACAGACGCCATGTTTGTTTACATTCTAGAAAAGACAGACATTCAACAGGCGCCATGTTTGTTTACATTCTATACAAGAGAAGACAACTACAAGTTAAAGTCCCAGTACACCCCACTATAATTTAATCCACCAGAGTTAGCTCCACTGTGGGGATGGTCAGACAACCTGTCACACCCCAGTCTGTAGACCAGAGCCCCACTGCTACCTGGACAGGTGGACGTTTTGTACGTGTACCTGGTCCGTCTACCCACCACCTCCTGCCTGTGTACCCAGTGACCTACAGAGACCTGCTTAGAACAGCCATGAGGATGTGACACTATAATGGTCAGCTTGTCCACATCTCTACGACTCGCGTATTTGTCATTTACTTTACCCCATAGACCATCAAACCGCCTCACCATCTCATCCAGTTTACCACCTACATCTACGTCATGTGTCACACACCACAACTCACACCAGTCTCCCTCAGTGCCTGACCATTCCACCTCCCACCCATAAATGTTGACCACTGGACTTTTATCATCATCAAACCACAACCTACAGCTGGACTGTCTCGCCTCACTTGAATCATAAACAACATGATTGGCTGTCAACACACCAACCTCCCACCACACTTTGCTGGGTGTGTCCGAGTGGTCATATTCAGGACATGGACAAGTTATGCCATCCTCTCCCTCTGTGTACTTGTACACCCACCCCACCCTTCCAGTCCCTGTATGCAGTGAGTTCTGTCCCCTGGTGTTGTAGCAAGGATATGGATCTTTAGTGCCTGGTACAAACTCTGGTCTGTCTGGACTGGTCAACTTAACGGCTATCCTGACAGTTAGGTCAGCCAGGGCTTTTGTGAGGGCATACACATCGTTGTCATGGTAACCAGAAGGAAAATGTTCAAGACTTAACTGATTTACAGGTATAAATTTGTTATGGCCAGGATTTTTCTCGCACTTTTTCACGTGTGTGTGTAGATCTACCTCACCTTGACCTTCAAGACATTCTTGTACTTCATGTGTACCTGTACAGGTAAACAAAACAATTTTATTACTGTAAACATTTCATTAGCTGTTAAACTTTGACAAACATAAAACAAGAAAACTATCTACAACCTCCAACTGTCACAACCATCTCAACCATCACCATCTTAAGATACTCATCCAGTAAACATTTCAAACTACAGAATGTTCCAACATAAGGACTTCATCAGCACAAAACATAGTAAGCATGCAGGTAGATACCTTTTTAAAGTCTTTCCCAATAGACATTACCTGTAAAATATGTTGAGATGTCCTCTCCACTGGCCATACTGTTGTGGTCATCTAGACTATCCTCTCCACTGGCCATACTGTTGTGGTCATCTAGACTATCCAAGTTGATTCCTGTAAAATAATCCACAACACAAAGATTTGACACATTGTCTACATCAGCACTAAACCATGGCTGTACACTTGATTAAGTAAAAAGATAATTAACAAACTTACCTGTAACTTGATGTGACAGATCTCTACTGGCCTTTACTGTAGTCTTATGGTCATCTGTGGCAACTGTTTGATTGAAATAACCTTGACCTTCACATCACATTCAGCAGCTGTCAGTCACTCTGTATAGTTAAAAAAAATTGACTTTTTAAATGTGAGCGGGTGAATGGATTATTTATTTTGTATTAATATATTTGTTGCGAATCTGCGAGTGCATGGTGGTCCTATGGGGATCAGACACGGAGTCCCCTTCCGGCTGAAGCGGACAGTATAAATTGATCGCTCGGCTGAATTTTCTCCCTTTTTGACCCACGGCGAGATGTAGGTCGGGTCAGGTTTCTGCGTGGCGCACCGCGCGCGTGGAGGTATTTGTTTTTTTATACTTTATCTTTATGTGATTTGTATGAATGCGACTGCCGATGTGTTCTCGTTTTATTTCTTTCTCGTCTAAAACGAGATAGTGAGCATCGGCATGTCTGGTATGCACGTGGTGTGTTATTTTGAAAGATTTAAAATGTATTTTTGATGTTTTCTAAACCCTTGGCGTGTGTTTTCGTACCACGTGGTTTAGGTCAGTGTGTTTAGGAATGTTCCCTAAACTTGTGCGAATGCGTGTGTGCATTTACTTTTTACTTTATTATGATGTTGTTATTGTGGGTTCCCCACGATGACTAGGATTGGCTTAGTCAATAGTCGGTTGTTTTAGACAGTAATTAGATTACTATATTTTAGTGGCCTCGAGTTTTAGGTTGTTTAGAATTAATGTGTGTGCTGTTTCGTGCAACGTCATGTTGAGTATCGCTTGCTTTGTGTCTGCCTTCATTGGGGCCTTAGCGGAGTGTGTTAACTTAATGTTATCAATATAGATGTTGTTTAGGTAGGCCAATGGCTTCGGGCTTCCTTGTGTAGGAAAGATTGGTTCTACAATGAATTTGTTTACACGTTATTTTTAAGTTGCTAGTTCTTGGTTAGACAGTGGTTAGTTGTGTTTTTGAGAATTGCTTTTAGAATTGTAAGAGTAAGGATTAGTTTTACTCGAGGCTTTAGCTAGATAGTAGTAGTAGGTAGCATTTTAAACATGTATATATTGATGTATATATTTCCATGCATTTTTTCTTATGTTTTCCTTTTCTTTTTCTCTCCCCCCCCCCTTCCAGTGAGGTTGCTTGGGCAACTTGGCTGGGTGTTTTGTTATATATGAATTGTTTTGTTTGGTGTAAAAAGATTGTTTTGTACGTAAGGTTGTCTACGTAATGTATCGTACGTAGTAGTTGTACGTAGTGTTTTGTTTGGTGTGGACTTTTGGATGTCGAGAATGGATGAAGGGAGGTTTCTGTGGGTCAGGGCCTGGACCATCCTAGACATCATAAGGCACCTGTTTGGTATAGGGTAAAGGAGGGCGTTAAGAGCCGTGTGGTATTAAGCCCCAATCAACACCCCACCCCCACAAAACCCCCAATAACACTGCTAATCTACTTCTGAGGTAACAACCACTGCTGTTCTTTGATAATAGAGAAGCAGAGGATTCATTTTATGTAATTTATGACCCACTTGGTCCAATAGGGAGAGGATGAGACAGGATTTAATCCCACTGCTCTTTCCCTAAAATTTGTCATCTCCATAAAACCATTTTGTGAACTTTTTTTCCAAATAGACATAACTTGGGAAACTTTACTTTGTAATAAACCAAATGAGTTTTTCAAGCCCATTCTTTGTTCCTGTATTAGAGCATTGGTTGTTGTACATTTTAACACTATTTTTATAGCTATGGCTAGAATAGTTTTATTTTGGTGAATTTTTTTTGCACAGTGATTATTGGTGCCAAAACAAAATGGCCGACATTTGTCCCATTTTACCATGCTATAAAGTTTTTATCATTATCAGAGTAAAACTTGACTGATCATCACCATAATGATTTTATTTGTTAGATAATAACTAAATCTACATGAATACATTAATTTTGTCCACTAGCTGGCCTGTTTAGAATAGTTATAACAGATACTGTTATGTGGCTCTTGAAACCCTACGTGCAAGTTTCTCATTTATTAGACCACTGAATATGACACTGGTATAGGAATAGTTAACACAAAATGTATTAATTGTTAAACAGACTTGTGTCTAAATGATAGAAATACTATTCTAACCTGCTAAACAGTAAAAATTCAGTCATCTGATGTTAGCAAGGTAATTTTTAAAATGGTACAGGTACTTATTACCCCTAAGGGGCAATACAGCCGACTCAGCCCCCACCTGTTTCTAACCAACCATAAAACTTCTAATCTCTTTGTAGGTAACAGGAATAAATGTTCTTAGGTCTCAGCCAATCTGGGGTGGTATGTTATGTAATTTATGACCCTCATGGTCCAGCAGGGAAGTAAACAGACACATTAATACCACTGCTCCCCCCTTACAATTTCTTACACCCCATGATACCCAGCCCCCACCAGTTTCTGGCCCACTATAAAACTTCATCTCTTTGTAGGTAACATGGATTACAGTTACAGATCTCAGACAATCTGGGGTGGCATGTTATGTAATATATGACCTTCATGGTCTAGCAGGGTGGAGACCAAAGAGGAATCAGTACCACTGCTCTCCCCTCACAATTTCTCACCTCCATGATAGCCAGACCCCACCTGTATCTAACCCACCATAAAACTTCATCTCTTTGTTGGTAACATGGACTAAGTTCTTAGATCTCAGCCAACCAGAGATAGCATCTCCTTATGTAATTTATGGCCCTCAGGGTCCAGCAAGGAGAAAAAAGGGGAAACCAGTACCACTGCTCTCCCCTCACAATTTCTCACCCCCATGATACCCAGCCCTCACCTGTATCTAACCCACCATAAAACTTATCTCTTTGTAGGTAACATGGACTTAGTTCTTAGATCTCAGCCAACCAGAGATAGCATCTCCTTATGTAATTTATGGCCCTCAGGGTCCAGCAAGGAGAACAAAGGGGAAACCAGTACCACTGCTCTCCCCTCAACATTTCTCACCTCCATGTCATATTATGTAATGTATAGCACACATGGCTTATCAGAGGAAAGTATTAAGGCAGATTAGTTAGTACCAACCCTTTTTACATACAAGAATGTTAACTCTGGACAGCTACACACTAGTATACTAGCTACACACTAGGCACACTAATGTGCCTACTGTAAACTACTAGACTGTAGGCCCTATGTACACCTGCAATTGTATCAATTGTAGACTGGGTCCATTGGGGCCTAGTGATGGCTAGTATCAGTTAAAGTGTGTGTACACAGCAATAACTATTTTGGGGTTAGAAATTAATTATTTTTATTGCAGAGTTAGTCTAAACTAGGAGATAATACTTATTGCCCCATTGCCCGGCTCCTTTCACCCCAAATGCTGATTTTGGGGGTATGACAATAAATGTTCAATTAAACCCATTTAAAGTATATTTAATAGACTTTGTTATTATTTTTATATTGTGTAAGATATGTTAGAATAATTTTGCCACATTTTCAATTCTAAAAAATTCTTAGATTAGTAGAAATCTTTAAAAATGTACAGGTGCTAAAAAGTGTGGCTCTTAACGCCCACCTTTACCCTATATTGTTTTCTACGTAATGTCTTTTGTGTGTACTGAAGCTATGAGGTGAGGGCGAAGGCGTTCCTCTTTCCATGAAGTATACATTTGTTTTGTTTCGTTGAGTTCTGTTTGTTTTGTATGTCTTGAGTGTTTTGTTTTGTCAAGATCTAGATTTTAGTTTTTTTATAATAACTTTTGGTTCCATATTTTGCTAAATAAATTTTATATTATTGTTAAAGCTTTTTTTGTTTTTAATTTAGACTAAGGTTAGGTTATTAACCAGTCTGGGTTTATCCGGACTTGCACTGACCGGACAGTTAGTTAGATAAGCCTAGAAGGGTAGATATTAGGTATCCCCCCCCCCCTAGCAGGGCTTACAAATTGGTAGCACGAGTGGGGTCAGTGCTTTAGTCTAGTTAAATTTTTGTTTTTCTGTTAGGGCTAGTGTAGCTTAGTTAAATTTTTTTCTTGATAGGCCCTTTTTGGAACCATATGTGTTTAGTTTATGTTTAGTGTAGGAATTGTTTGTTGTTTAAACACCCAGTCAGGTTTGCGGAGAGACGTGCCTCGGCGAGCCTTCAGTGTGCGTGGCTGGACAAGGCACGGTGTGTGGCGCTGGACCTGGCGTGTCTAGACTGGTGGTCTAGACTGGACAACACACACGGGCGTGGCGCGGATCTGGTGTGTACGGCAGACCGGTGAACAACGAGAGGCCTATGACGTCAACCCCTTGACCCACAAAGAGGGCTACTGGAAACCCGCCCCACAGGTGTGTCGTGTCGGGCACACGATCATTGGAGGCGGGTAACAGCACGAGAGCCAGTGGGGCAAGGCGGTTGCGTCACCACCTGGCCCAGCTAAGCGGACGCTCCCTACCTATGACGTCAATTCCTGAACCCACAAAGAGGGCTACTGGACACCCGCCCCACAGGTGTGTCGAAGCGGAGGCACGATCGTTGGGGGCGGGTAACAGTCGGAGAGCCAGTGGTGAAAGGCGGTGGCGTCGTATCTGAACCAATTTTACCGGTGGTCTGACGCTGAGGCCAGAACTAGAACACGGTGTGTTGTGTAGTGGACGGGATGGACAGGCAACGTGTGCCATTAGTAGCGGGCGGGTCTAGGCTGACCCTTGCCCTTCCAGATGAACGACCGACATGACTAGTACTCAGTGAAGGGACCACTATCTTGGTGCCTTGAGTTTTTTGGAAGCACAGAGACGCAAGATTAATGTTATTGTACATTGTTTCTTTTTTTGCTTTCAAGCTTATAGGCTTGATGTAAGAGATGGGTGCATGTTTTATTTTAAGATGGTTATATGCATTTTGTCTTACAGGGTCGTAAGATTTTAAAAAGGGGTGAATGTGAGCGGGTGAATGGATTATTTATTTTGTATTAATATATTTGTTGCGAATCTGCGAGTGCATGGTGGTCCTATGGGGATCAGACACGGAGTCCCCTTCCGGCTGAAGCGGACAGTATAAATTGATCGCTCGGCTGAATTTTCTCCCTTTTTGACCCACGGCGAGATGTAGGTCGGGTCAGGTTTCTGCGTGGCGCACCGCGCGCGTGGAGGTATTTGTTTTTTTATACTTTATCTTTATGTGATTTGTATGAATGCGACTGCCGATGTGTTCTCGTTTTATTTCTTTCTCGTCTAAAACGAGATAGTGAGCATCGGCATGTCTGGTATGCACGTGGTGTGTTATTTTGAAAGATTTAAAATGTATTTTTGATGTTTTCTAAACCCTTGGCGTGTGTTTTCGTACCACGTGGTTTAGGTCAGTGTGTTTAGGAATGTTCCCTAAACTTGTGCGAATGCGTGTGTGCATTTACTTTTTACTTTATTATGATGTTGTTATTGTGGGTTCCCCACGATGACTAGGATTGGCTTAGTCAATAGTCGGTTGTTTTAGACAGTAATTAGATTACTATATTTTAGTGGCCTCGAGTTTTAGGTTGTTTAGAATTAATGTGTGTGCTGTTTCGTGCAACGTCATGTTGAGTATCGCTTGCTTTGTGTCTGCCTTCATTGGGGCCTTAGCGGAGTGTGTTAACTTAATGTTATCAATATAGATGTTGTTTAGGTAGGCCAATGGCTTCGGGCTTCCTTGTGTAGGAAAGATTGGTTCTACAATGAATTTGTTTACACGTTATTTTTAAGTTGCTAGTTCTTGGTTAGACAGTGGTTAGTTGTGTTTTTGAGAATTGCTTTTAGAATTGTAAGAGTAAGGATTAGTTTTACTCGAGGCTTTAGCTAGATAGTAGTAGTAGGTAGCATTTTAAACATGTATATATTGATGTATATATTTCCATGCATTTTTTCTTATGTTTTCCTTTTCTTTTTCTCTCCCCCCCCCCCTTCCAGTGAGGTTGCTTGGGCAACTTGGCTGGGTGTTTTGTTATATATGAATTGTTTTGTTTGGTGTAAAAAGATTGTTTTGTACGTAAGGTTGTCTACGTAATGTATCGTACGTAGTAGTTGTACGTAGTGTTTTGTTTGGTGTGGACTTTTGGATGTCGAGAATGGATGAAGGGAGGTTTCTGTGGGTCAGGGCCTGGACCATCCTAGACATCATAAGGCACCTGTTTGGTATATATTGTTTTCTACGTAATGTCTTTTGTGCGTACTGAAGCTATGAGGTGAGGGCGAAGGCGTTCCTCTTTCCATGAAGTATACATTTGTTTTGTTTTGTTTCGTTGAGTTCTGCTTGTATTGTATGTCTTGAGTGTTTTGTTTTGTTCAGATCTAGATTCTGTTTTTTTATAATAATTTTTGGTTCCATATTTTATTATTTTGTTAAATAAATTTTATATTAAATTGTTAAAAGTTTTGTTGTTTTTAATTTAGACTAAGGTTAGGTTATTAACCAGTTTGGGTTTATCCGGGCTTGCACTGACCGGACAGTAGTTAGTTAGATAAGCCTAGAAGGGTAGATTTTAGGTATCCCCCCCCCCCCCCCTTGCAGGGCTTACATAAAGAAAGAAGTTTATATGGTAGTTTGACTAGTCATCAACCAGTGTTTCTTTACAAACTACATAACAATAGCCACTGGTCAATGATTTGGCAGACAGAATTCAGCATGAGGGTCAGATTTAGAAGATTATGGTTAAATACATTCTTAGACCAACATGTAAGATAGATTGACTGACCTTTGAACTCCCCACTTGACATCAGACAGCACACACCACTATGGAAGATTTTATTACTGATATATAAACTTGAATTTAAGTTTTATTTAATGGAACTCTAATCAAAATAAAGTGTTTTTTATTTATGTACATTTTGCACATCTTACAAATGGCGGGAAAATATATCAATTACTTTATCGATATGTTATCGACTTCGAATCCTCGGGAATCGTTTAGACTAAATACCGATACATTTTGTATTGTCGTCTTTTGTTAAAAAAATAATAATTTTCCATTTGTGAAAATAGAAATAGTAATTATATTAACCAAAGTACCGATTATCAAACCTAGCGATGCAAGGTTAATTAATTGTAATTTCAGCAATCATTGGAGGTGATCCATTGACTTACTGGAAATTTAATACAGAGAAATTATTTGCTTGAATGAAACTACTTAAAATATCGTGGCTAAACTCTTAAACGATAATTTAAATGTGAATAATTACCGATAAAATTATATAATGAACAAAGCTTTTAATAACTACCTAATAAAGTTCAACTAGTCCAAATTTCAACAATGCTACACCAGTTGTGTAAGGAAGTCTACTTTTTCTTCTTCGTTCTTAATGTTTAGTATTGGAATGGATCGAGCCTTATCTGCTAGAGGGTTTGAACTTTTTTCGAATGTTTCAACCATGAGCTTTTTTGCCGACTCGACCGCGCCTCAAACACAATTTAGGATACGTGTCAACTGGTTATACGCCATTGGGGCCATTGACTCCGATTTCAACCTGCTTTTCTTTTTGGATTTGCTTCCATAGCCTGTCCAACCAAGAACAAACTACAAGGCAGCAGTTGTTTGATTTTGGAGTTGTCTCTACTAGAAGAGAGACTTTTCGGTTTAGCAATCATTAGCTTTACCGACTCGACCACGCCGTCCCATGTGTAAGGAAATTATATGTGACGTCAACAAGAATTAACCTGAGTTATATACCAGAGACGGTTTTTTTTACTGTAGGCTCTAGACGTGGACAAATCTAGACATGGACACATGTAGACATTGACACCTGTAGACATGGACAGCTGTAGACATGGACACCTGTAGACATGGACACCTGAAGACATGGACACCTGTAGACATGGACACCTCTAGACATGGACACCTGTAGACATGGACACCTGTAGACATGGACACCTGTAGACATGGACACCTGTAGACATGGACACCTGTAGACATGGACACCTGTAGACATGGACACCTGTAGACATGGACACCTGTAGACATGGACACCTGTAGACATGGACACCTGTAGACATGGACACCTGTAGACATGGACACCTGTAGACATGGACACCTGTAGACATGGACACCTGTAGACATGGACACCTATAGACACGGACACCTGTAAACATGGACACCTATAGACACGGACACCTATAGACATGGACACCTGTAGACATTGACACCTATAGACACAGACACCTGTAAACATGGAGCCCTATAGACATGGACACCTGTAGACATGGACACCTATAGACACGGACACCTGTAGACATGGGCACCTATAGACACGGACACCTATAGACATGGAAACCTGTAGACATTCACACATATAGACATGGACACCTATAGACACGGACACCTGTAGACATGGAAACCTGTAGACATTCACACATATAGACATGGACACCTATAGACACGGACACCTGTAAACATGGAGACCTATAGACACGGACACCTATAGACATGGAGCACTATAGACACGGACACCTGTAGACATGGACAGCTGTAGACATGGACACCTGTAGACATGGACACCTGTAGACATGGACACCTCTAGACATGGACACCTGTAGACATGGACACCTGTAGACATAGACACATGTAGACATGGACACCTGTAGACATGGACACCTGTAGACATGGACACCTGTAGACACGGACACCTGTAAACATGGACACCTATAGACACGGACACCTATAGACATGGACACCTGTAGACATTGACACCTATAGACACAGACACCTATAGACATGGAGCCCTATAGACACGGACACCTGTAGACATGGACACCTATAGACACGGACACCTGTAGACATGGGCACCTATAGACACGGACACCTATAGACATGGAAACCTGTAGACATTCACACATATAGACATGGACACCTGTAGACATGGACACCTATCAACATGGACACCTGTGGACATGGACAGCTGTAGACATGGACACCTGTAGACATGGACACCTGTAGACATGGACAGCTGTAGACATGGACACCTGTAGACATGGACACCTGTAGACATGGACACCTGTAGACATGGACACCTGTAGACATGGACACCTGTAGACATGGACACCTGTAGACATGGACACCTGTAGACATGGACACCTGTAGACATGGACACCTATAGACATGGACACCTGTAGACATGGACACCTGTAGACATGGACACCTGTAGACATGGACACCTGTAGACATGGACACCTATAGACACGGACACCTGTAGACATGGACACCTATAGACACGGACACCTATAGACATGGACACCTGTAGACATTGACACCTATAGACACGAAAACCTATAGACATGGACACCTATAGACATGGACACCTGTGGACATGGACACCTTTAGACATGGACACCTGTAGACATGGACACCTGTAGACATGGACACCTGTAGACATGGACACCTTTAGACATGGACATCTGTAGACATGGACACCTGTAGACATGGACACCTGTAGACATGGACACCTGTAGAAATGGACACCTTTAGACATGGACATCTGTAGACATGGACACCTGTAGACATGGACACCTGTAGACATGGACACCTGTAGAAATGGACACCTATAGACAAGTCTACCTATAGACATGGACACCTGTAGACATTGACACCTATAGACACAGACACCTATAGACATGGAGCCCTATAGACACGGACACCTGTAGACATGGACACCTATAGAAACGGACACCTGTAGACATGGGCACCTATAGACACGGACACCTATAGACATGGAAACCTGTAGACATTCACACATATAGACATGGACACCTATAGACATGGACACCTGTAGACATGGACAGCTGTAGACATGGACACCTGTAGACATGGACACCTGTAGACATGGACACCTGTAGACATGGACACCTGTAGACATGGACACCTGTAGACATAGACACCTGTAGACATGGACACCTGTAGACATGGACACCTGTAGACATGGACACCTGTAGACATGGACACCTGTAGACATGGACACCTGTAGACATGGACACCTATAGACACGGACACCTGTAGACATGGACACCTATAGACACGGACACCTATAGACATGGACACCTGTAGACATTGACACCTGTGGACATGGACACCTTTAGACATGGACACCTGTAGACATGGACACCTGTAGACATGGACACCTGTAGACATGGACACCTTTAGACATGGACATCTGTAGACATGGACACCTGTAGACATGGACACCTGTAGACATGGACACCTGTAGAAATGGACACCTTTAGACATGGACATCTGTAGACATGGACACCTGTAGACATGGACACCTGTAGACATGGACACCTGTAGACATGGACACCTATAGACAAGTCTACCTATAGACATGGACACCTGTAGACATTGACACCTATAGACACAGACACCTATAGACATGGAGCCCTATAGACACGGACACCTGTAGACATGGACACCTATAGAAACGGACACCTGTAGACATGGGCACCTATAGACACGGACACCTATAGACATGGAAACCTGTAGACATTCACACATATAGACATGGACACCTATAGACATGGACACCTGTAGACATGGACAGCTGTAGACATGGACACCTGTAGACATGGACACCTGTAGACATGGACACCTGTAGACATGGACACCTGTAGACATGGACACCTGTAGACATAGACACCTGTAGACATGGACACCTGTAGACATGGACACCTGTAGACATGGACACCTGTAGACATGGACACCTGTAGACATGGACACCTGTAGACATGGACACCTATAGACACGGACACCTGTAGACATGGACACCTATAGACACGGACACCTATAGACATGGACACCTGTAGACATTGACACCTATAGACACGAACACCTATAGACATGGAGCCCTATAGACACGGACACCTGTAGACATGGACACCTATAGACACGGACACCTGTAGACATGGGCACCTATAGACACGGACACCTATAGACATGGAAACCTGTAGACATTCACACATATAGACATGGACACCTGTAGACATGGACACCTATAGACATGGACACCTGTGGACATGGACACCTATAGACATGGACACCTGTAGACATGGACACCTGTAGACATGGACACCTGTAGACATGGACACCTTTAGACATGGGCACCTATAGACACGGACACCTATAGACATGGACACCTGTAGACATGGACACCTGTAGAAATGGACACCTTTAGACATGGACATCTGTAGACATGGACACCTGTAGACATGGACACCTGTAGACATGGACACCTGTAGAAATGGACACCTATAGACATGGACACCTGTAGACATGGACACCTGTAGACATGGACACCTGTAGACATGGACACCTGTAGACATGGACACCTGTAGACATGGACACCTGTAGACATGGACACCTGTAGACATGGACACCTGTAGACATAGACATCTGTAGACATTGACACCTATAGACACGGACACCTGTAGACATGGACACCTATAGACACGGACACGTATAGACATGGACACCTTGTAGACATTCACACATATAGACATGGACACCTGTAGACATGGACACCTGTAGACATGGACACCTGTAGACATGGACACCTGTAGACATGGACACCTGTAGACATGGACACCTGTAGACATGGACACCTGTAGACATGGACACCTGTAGACATAGACATCTGTAGACATTGACACCTATAGACACGGACACCTGTAGACATGGACACCTATAGACACGGACACGTATAGACATGGACACCTTGTAGACATTCACACATATAGACATGGACACCTGTAGACATGGACACCTGTATACATGGACACCTGTATACATGGACACCTCTAGACATGGACACATGTAGACATAGAAACCTTTAGACATTGACACATGTAGACATAGACACCTGTAGACATGGAAACATGTAGACATGGACACCTGCAGACATGAACACCTGTAGACATGGACACCTGTATACATAGACACCGGTAGACATTGACACATGTAGACATAGACACCTGTAGACATGGAAACATGTAGACATGAACACCTGCAGACATGAACACCTGTAGACACGGACACCTTTAGACATGATCAATTGTAAACATGGACACCTGCAGACATGAACACCTGTAGATATGGAGACATGTTGACATAGACACCTGTAGAAACACATCTACACAGACACAGTGTACTCGGACACCCGTTCTTCATTGTTTTATTAAACATTTTCTGTTATCGAGGAAGATTAACCATAAACAACTTTAAAACATTATGGGATATCTGTCCATATTTATTGACATCTGCAGACGTTACTTCTCAATGTTCGCCCATATTTGGACGTCTGCTGACGTTTAACAAACAACAGTTGTTTATTGGAGATCACGTGAACATATTAGATCTCTGTACTGAAGGATTTGAGCAGCTTTTTATTTAGTTTATTGGCAGTTTTTAAGTGTAAACATATGCATCTTACGTGTCATTTTACATATGACGTAGACCATAAACACATATTCGACGTAATTGCAGCTTAAGTACGTCGTATGTTATTTCATCACGATCTGGACTTTGACATTTGAAATAACTTACGTTTACGACATTAGTAAATAATAAATATTTTATGGAAAGTCAAACACGTCAAAGGTGTAATTAATCTTGTTTGGTGCGTCTAGAGATTTCACACTTATAAATAATCTCAAGTTATTATCTTGTTAATTTTGAAGCATTTTTATTTTGTATACTCTTAAATATATAATGATGTTTTTAAACGACATACAGCCGCGCTTTTCATTCAATGTATATTACCTTTTTAGCGCAATTTCCTTACTGGAATTGCGATTATTAATTCGTTATTTCTGGATGGATGAATGAATGGATGTGTGTCCGCAGCTTTACCGCAGCTTTAAGTCGTATCTCCTCCTCAACGAAGCAATATCGAGGACTAGTTCCAAAAGCAAATATGTTAAGCAAGTTTCGAGGATGATTGTGGGCCAAAACAATTCCCGGAATTCCTTCCTGGATTTCCCGGAAAAGCCAAAAAACCTCGAAATTTCTGGATGTATGGATGTGTGTCCGCAGCTTAAAGTCGTATCTCCTCCTCAACGAAGCAATATCGAGGACTAGTTTCAAAAGCAAATATGTTAAGCAAGTTCCAAGGATGACTGTGGGCTAAAAAAATACCCGGAATTCACTCCTGGATTTCCCGGAAAAGCCAAAAAACCTCGAAAAAATGCAGTTTTGGCCCATATCTCGGAAACCAGACCATAATTCTGCCATAATTTAGAACAATATTGCCGAAGAAAGTTTTCAAAAATGTCCTTTCGTTCGGTCACAATTTTTTTTAAAAAATTACATAAACACCTATAAACCGATCGTTCTCCTAGCTTGAACGCATCCCAGCATTATACGTCTTTGTGATCACTATCTATTTTTAGATAACATAAGGAAATTGCGCTTAAATTGTCACTAGACTTTTTATTAACTTTTTTATTGTTTAAATACGTAAATTAAATGGTTAATATTCCGAATACTTACGTGAGTAAATATCAATACGTGTTTACTTGCTTCAGCAAATGTATTTTTGATGTTTTCTAAACCCTTGGCGTGTGTTTTCGTACCACGTGGTTTAGGTCAGTGTGTTTAGGAATGTTCCCTAAACTTGTGCGAATGCGTGTGTGCATTTACTTTTTACTTTATTATGATGTTGTTATTGTGGGTTCCCCACGATGACTAGGATTGGCTTAGTCAATAGTCGGTTGTTTTAGACAGTAATTAGATTACTATATTTTAGTGGCCTCGAGTTTTAGGTTGTTTAGAATTAATGTGTGTGCTGTTTCGTGCAACGTCATGTTGAGTATCGCTTGCTTTGTGTCTGCCTTCATTGGGGCCTTAGCGGAGTGTGTTAACTTAATGTTATCAATATAGATGTTGTTTAGGTAGGCCAATGGCTTCGGGCTTCCTTGTGTAGGAAAGATTGGTTCTACAATGAATTTGTTTACACGTTATTTTTAAGTTGCTAGTTCTTGGTTAGACAGTGGTTAGTTGTGTTTTTGAGAATTGCTTTTAGAATTGTAAGAGTAAGGATTAGTTTTACTCGAGGCTTTAGCTAGATAGTAGTAGTAGGTAGCATTTTAAACATGTATATATTGATGTATATATTTCCATGCATTTTTTCTTATGTTTTCCTTTTCTTTTTCTCTCCCCCCCCCCCTTCCAGTGAGGTTGCTTGGGCAACTTGGCTGGGTGTTTTGTTATATATGAATTGTTTTGTTTGGTGTAAAAAGATTGTTTTGTACGTAAGGTTGTCTACGTAATGTATCGTACGTAGTAGTTGTACGTAGTGTTTTGTTTGGTGTGGACTTTTGGATGTCGAGAATGGATGAAGGGAGGTTTCTGTGGGTCAGGGCCTGGACCATCCTAGACATCATAAGGCACCTGTTTGGTATATATTGTTTTCTACGTAATGTCTTTTGTGCGTACTGAAGCTATGAGGTGAGGGCGAAGGCGTTCCTCTTTCCATGAAGTATACATTTGTTTTGTTTTGTTTCGTTGAGTTCTGCTTGTATTGTATGTCTTGAGTGTTTTGTTTTGTTCAGATCTAGATTCTGTTTTTTTATAATAATTTTTGGTTCCATATTTTATTATTTTGTTAAATAAATTTTATATTAAATTGTTAAAAGTTTTGTTGTTTTTAATTTAGACTAAGGTTAGGTTATTAACCAGTCTGGGTTTATCCGGGCTTGCACTGACCGGACAGTAGTTAGTTAGATAAGCCTAGAAGGGTAGATTTTAGGTATCCCCCCCCCCCTTGCAGGGCTTACATAAAGAAAGAAGTTTATATGGTAGTTTGACTAGTCATCAACCAGTGTTTCTTTACAAACTACATAACAATAGCCACTGGTCAATGATTTGGCAGACAGAATTCAGCATGAGGGTCAGATTTAGAAGATTATGGTTAAATACATTCTTAGACCAACATGTAAGATAGATTGACTGACCTTTGAACTCCCCACTTGACATCAGACAGCACACACCACTATGGAAGATTTTATTACTGATATATAAACTTGAATTTAAGTTTTATTTAATGGAACTCTAATCAAAATAAAGTGTTTTTTATTTATGTACATTTTGCACATCTTACAAATGGCGGGAAAATATATCAATTACTTTATCGATATGTTATCGACTTCGAATCCTCGGGAATCGTTTAGACTAAATACCGATACATTTTGTATTGTCGTCTTTTGTTAAAAAAATAATAATTTTCCATTTGTGAAAATAGAAATAGTAATTATATTAACCAAAGTACCGATTATCAAACCTAGCGATGCAAGGTTAATTAATTGTAATTTCAGCAATCATTGGAGGTGATCCATTGACTTACTGGAAATTTAATACAGAGAAATTATTTGCTTGAATGAAACTACTTAAAATATCGTGGCTAAACTCTTAAACGATAATTTAAATGTGAATAATTACCGATAAAATTATATAATGAACAAAGCTTTTAATAACTACCTAATAAAGTTCAACTAGTCCAAATTTCAACAATGCTACACCAGTTGTGTAAGGAAGTCTACTTTTTCTTCTTCGTTCTTAATGTTTAGTATTGGAATGGATCGAGCCTTATCTGCTAGAGGGTTTGAACTTTTTTCGAATGTTTCAACCATGAGCTTTTTTGCCGACTCGACCGCGCCTCAAACACAATTTAGGATACGTGTCAACTGGTTATACGCCATTGGGGCCATTGACTCCGATTTCAACCTGCTTTTCTTTTTGGATTTGCTTCCATAGCCTGTCCAACCAAGAACAAACTACAAGGCAGCAGTTGTTTGATTTTGGAGTTGTCTCTACTAGAAGAGAGACTTTTCGGTTTAGCAATCATTAGCTTTACCGACTCGACCACGCCGTCCCATGTGTAAGGAAATTATATGTGACGTCAACAAGAATTAACCTGAGTTATATACCAGAGACGGTTTTTTTTACTGTAGGCTCTAGACGTGGACAAATCTAGACATGGACACATGTAGACATTGACACCTGTAGACATGGACAGCTGTAGACATGGACACCTGTAGACATGGACACCTGAAGACATGGACACCTGTAGACATGGACACCTCTAGACATGGACACCTGTAGACATGGACACCTGTAGACATGGACACCTGTAGACATGGACACCTGTAGACATGGACACCTGTAGACATGGACACCTGTAGACATGGACACCTGTAGACATGGACACCTGTAGACATGGACACCTGTAGACATGGACACCTGTAGACATGGACACCTGTAGACATGGACACCTGTAGACATGGACACCTGTAGACATGGACACCTGTAGACATGGACACCTATAGACACGGACACCTGTAAACATGGACACCTATAGACACGGACACCTATAGACATGGACACCTGTAGACATTGACACCTATAGACACAGACACCTGTAAACATGGAGCCCTATAGACATGGACACCTGTAGACATGGACACCTATAGACACGGACACCTGTAGACATGGGCACCTATAGACACGGACACCTATAGACATGGAAACCTGTAGACATTCACACATATAGACATGGACACCTATAGACACGGACACCTGTAGACATGGAAACCTGTAGACATTCACACATATAGACATGGACACCTATAGACACGGACACCTGTAAACATGGAGACCTATAGACACGGACACCTATAGACATGGAGCACTATAGACACGGACACCTGTAGACATGGACAGCTGTAGACATGGACACCTGTAGACATGGACACCTGTAGACATGGACACCTCTAGACATGGACACCTGTAGACATGGACACCTGTAGACATAGACACATGTAGACATGGACACCTGTAGACATGGACACCTGTAGACATGGACACCTGTAGACACGGACACCTGTAAACATGGACACCTATAGACACGGACACCTATAGACATGGACACCTGTAGACATTGACACCTATAGACACAGACACCTATAGACATGGAGCCCTATAGACACGGACACCTGTAGACATGGACACCTATAGACACGGACACCTGTAGACATGGGCACCTATAGACACGGACACCTATAGACATGGAAACCTGTAGACATTCACACATATAGACATGGACACCTGTAGACATGGACACCTATCAACATGGACACCTGTGGACATGGACAGCTGTAGACATGGACACCTGTAGACATGGACACCTGTAGACATGGACAGCTGTAGACATGGACACCTGTAGACATGGACACCTGTAGACATGGACACCTGTAGACATGGACACCTGTAGACATGGACACCTGTAGACATGGACACCTGTAGACATGGACACCTGTAGACATGGACACCTGTAGACATGGACACCTATAGACATGGACACCTGTAGACATGGACACCTGTAGACATGGACACCTGTAGACATGGACACCTGTAGACATGGACACCTATAGACACGGACACCTGTAGACATGGACACCTATAGACACGGACACCTATAGACATGGACACCTGTAGACATTGACACCTATAGACACGAAAACCTATAGACATGGACACCTATAGACATGGACACCTGTGGACATGGACACCTTTAGACATGGACACCTGTAGACATGGACACCTGTAGACATGGACACCTGTAGACATGGACACCTTTAGACATGGACATCTGTAGACATGGACACCTGTAGACATGGACACCTGTAGACATGGACACCTGTAGAAATGGACACCTTTAGACATGGACATCTGTAGACATGGACACCTGTAGACATGGACACCTGTAGACATGGACACCTGTAGAAATGGACACCTATAGACAAGTCTACCTATAGACATGGACACCTGTAGACATTGACACCTATAGACACAGACACCTATAGACATGGAGCCCTATAGACACGGACACCTGTAGACATGGACACCTATAGAAACGGACACCTGTAGACATGGGCACCTATAGACACGGACACCTATAGACATGGAAACCTGTAGACATTCACACATATAGACATGGACACCTATAGACATGGACACCTGTAGACATGGACAGCTGTAGACATGGACACCTGTAGACATGGACACCTGTAGACATGGACACCTGTAGACATGGACACCTGTAGACATGGACACCTGTAGACATAGACACCTGTAGACATGGACACCTGTAGACATGGACACCTGTAGACATGGACACCTGTAGACATGGACACCTGTAGACATGGACACCTGTAGACATGGACACCTATAGACACGGACACCTGTAGACATGGACACCTATAGACACGGACACCTATAGACATGGACACCTGTAGACATTGACACCTGTGGACATGGACACCTTTAGACATGGACACCTGTAGACATGGACACCTGTAGACATGGACACCTGTAGACATGGACACCTTTAGACATGGACATCTGTAGACATGGACACCTGTAGACATGGACACCTGTAGACATGGACACCTGTAGAAATGGACACCTTTAGACATGGACATCTGTAGACATGGACACCTGTAGACATGGACACCTGTAGACATGGACACC